TGTGTGTGTGTGTGTATATATATATGTATATATATATATATATATATATATATATATATACACACACACACACACACACACGATTATGATGTCGAACTGTTGTATAAACGCAATATCACATATAGCAACGCACGCCTCGCACCTGTGCCGATATACAGCCATATCACACTGCTACTTGTGTGATATTGCTCATATATTATATATAAATATATTCTCTTATAACTTTTTACAAATTAATTTCAGCTTTTTACCAGCAAAGTATTTGTTTAAAGTTAAAACTATGAATAAAAAAATATAAAAATAAAAATTTCTTTGCTTTTGCGGCTTTCAGAATACTTGTGATGTTAAAAGAAATACACATTTTTGACAAATAAATAAGCACAAAATTGCAACTATAACATTTCTTTTAAAAATGTTTTTATGTTTTCTAAATTAATTATTTAATTGCGTTTCTTTTAGGGAGTTATAGGCAGGATCAGTGGCCAGTGAAAAGAAAGCAATATGGCTAATACTGTTAGAATATGCAGTCGACTAATTTAGAGTTGGTTTTATTGTAATCTTAAGTCATAAAACTAGTTTTATAATTTTAAATATTTAGTTTTATGACTTAAAATTATAATAGAAGAGCCACTGACCTACCTGTAACTTTTTAAAAGAAACACAATTAAATATTTAATAAAAAAAAAAACTGTAATTTTAAAGTAAGAATGAAATAAAAATGGCATTTTAAAATTATTAATAAATGTATTATTTATAAAAAGTTTTTTTTTTTTGTTTCTTTAAAAAGGAGAACAAAAGTTTTTTGCCTTGGTGGAAAACTGAGGGAAGTCACAAAATAATATATAAAATAATAATAATAATAATAATAACAATAATAATAATAATAATAATTATTATTATTATTATTATTGTTGTTGTTGTTGTTGTTGTTGTTGTTGTTGTTGTTCTTATTATTATTTATATAAAAGTGTTGCATTTATTTGCTTTGATTGTTGTTGTTTTGTCATTTGTTTGGTTACAATGTAAAAACCCTTACAAACCATCTACATTTATTGTCTTCATAATATTTAACAAACAGAATGTTGCTGCAAAGCAGATCTGCATTTGATTGTGATGGAAGATAAATTTAGGCCATGAAAACTGATCACTGAACTTACAGCAGCTACAGATTCCTGCACTAACTGAATTCAGTTATAGCAGTAAACAAGTACAAGAGCAACTGATTAAACCTGAGAGCAGGGGTTAATCCAGTAAAGCTGTGGAAAAATGTAAAGATAACGTGACAGACCAGTCATGAGGAAACATGAAGGTCAGGCTGGACTTTTTTTTCCTCAAAATCTTGTTTTTGTTTTGTCCAGGGGCCATCACCAATGAGACTTCACTGTTCACTTACGACACAAACCACCTTCTGAATGAATATTATTATGCTCCAAAGCACGATCCATCGTTCATCCCAAACTTCTCCATGACCGAAGACCCTGAGGATCCTCTTGTGGAGGCGACGCTGAGGCTGTGTTCAGGAGACGGGGCTGACTTCTGCAAATATGACGCCCTGAGCATGAGGAGTCTGAAGCAAGGCAACGCCACACTGAGGGCCTACAGGAGCCACACAGACACACAGACTGCACTGGAACCTGGTGAGATTGAGCTTTTTTTCTTCATTATTCTTAGCTGTTGGGTAAGTTGCTTAAAAAAAGTCATAAATTCCTAATTAGAGCAATAAATTGTATTTAAAATTTCTAATTACTTTATTCAATTTAATTCACCTTTATTTGTATAGCGCTTTTACAGTGTAGATTGTGTCAAAGCAGCTTCACATAGAAGATCATAGTAAATTGATCAGTTCAGTTTATGTCAGTGTGGTTAATAATCACTACTGAGAGTCCAAACACTGAAGAGCAAATCCATCGATGCGCGCAGCTCTACAGATCCCGAACCATGCAAGCTAGTGGCGACAGCGAAAAGGAAAAAACTTCACCAATTGGCGAAAGGGAAGAATTAAAAAAAACCTCAAGAGAAACCAGGCTCAGTTGGGCATGGCCATTTCTCCACTGGCTAAACGTCTTATGCGTTTTTGTCTGAAAAAGTTTAATTAAGTCAGTTACTTAAAGTAATTTAATTATTTGCAGAAACAAGGTTTTTTATTTGGAAATATGCTCGTTTTACATCTTCAGTAGAGTTAAACAGTTGAATTTTACTATTTTTGAGTCCGTTTAGCCAATATATTGGTCTGGCGGGAGCACTTTTAGCTTAGCTTAGCTTAGCTTAGATCATTGAATCATTGAATAATTATGTTTAAATTTTCTAGTTAGTTTGTCTGAAAAGTCATTTCATTAAAGTCGATTATTCATTCTTTTTTTTTCGGTTTAGTCCTTTCATTAATCTGGGGTCGCCACAGCGGAATGAACCACCAACTTATCCAGCAACCCATCACTGGGAAACATCTATATACACTCATTCACACACATACGCTGCGTACAATTTAGCCTTCCCAATTCACCTTTAACATGTCTTTGGACTGTGGGGAAAACCAGAGCACCCAGAAGAAACCCACGCGAACACGGAGAGAACATGCAAACTCCATACAGAAATGCCAACTGACCCAGCCGAATTGAGGCTTGAACCAGCGACCTTCTTGCTGTGAGGCAATCATGCTACTCACTGCGCCACTGTGACGCCAAAAGTCGATTATTCAAAAAGTAATTTAATTATTTGATGAAACAAGGTTTTTTATTTGGAAATATGCTCGTTTTACATCTTCGCTAGAGTTAAACAGTTGAATTTAACCATTTTTGAGTCCATTCAGCTGATCTCAGGGTCTGGCAGGAGCGCTTTTAGCTTAGCTTAGCATAGATCATTAAATTATGTTTTAATTTTCTTGTTACTTAATAACTAACTAATAATTGAAATCTTTAATAGGCAGTGTTATAACCTAAAGAAACACTCTTTTTTTCTTTTTTAGTTTTACATCTCTGGTTGAGTTTTTACACTTTTTTTTTTTGAGTCCATTCAGCCGATCTCGGGGTCTGGCGTGAGCGCTTTGAGTTTAGCTTAGCAAAGATCATTGAATTGGATTAGACCATTTGCATCTCGCTCAAAAAAAATATATAGTTGCCAGTGGCTTACTTTTATTACCGACATTTTTCTGACCATTTAATATTTCATCATTAAACCTGACAATGTATGATCAAATTACTGGAACTGCAGCATTTTTGTAGTTTAATTTTGTAACCCATCTTACTTATTACAAATAATGTTTTCAAAATTATAAGATTATTTTTATTAAAATTATTTATTAATTTTTAAAATAATACTAAT